GTGATTAGTCTTACATATTGCTAACACGACATAATATAAATTTTCATAGTCCTAATCAAATACACATAAGGAGTATATGCTAATAGTGTAGAGATCTAGATAATTCTTTCATTTAGGCATACTTAACTTCATGGATTTCACTTCATAAACATATTAAAGATACGCACTTATTAATAATTAGTAATTTAGTAGAAAACCTCCAAAGTTAAGAATTAAATATGTGACAAAAGAAAGAGTTAAGGTAAGATCATCAAAGTTAAAGAGTCAAATACAATTTCATATCACCAAAAACTTTAGTTTTTAAAGAGTCCATATTCTGCCTTCATTCTCTGATCTAAAGCAAACCGTTTCTTCTGATCCATTTCTTCATATGAAACTTCGCTCAGTTTCTTCTTGTTGGGGACAACAAGTTGGTGCAGTACACCGTCCCAAGTCTTTCTAGTTTCTTTCATTTCGTCCATTTGAGCCCCATATGACTGAACCTTAAAATTGATAAAGACATTATAGATCAACCATAACTATATATCTCCTTTCGAAATCAAACAAAACTTTAGATGCATTACTTGTTTTTTTTTTTTTTNTTTACCTGGTTTAGATCGTCCAACTTCATTTCTAATTTTGTGTACGTAGCCATTTGAGCCCTAGACGCCTGAAACATGACAACACATTGTACATATATATGTCTTTTCAAAACCAAACAAGTTTAATAACACCATTGTCTTTTGCTTTTACCTTTTTCAAAGACTTAATCTCATCCATTTGAGCTCTAGACAACTGAAACATGAATTGAGACATTATAGATCAACCATAACTATATATATATATATGTCCTTTCAAAATTAAACAAAACTTTAGATGTATCATTACTTATTTTTTTACCTGGTTTAGATGGTCCAACTTCTTTTCTAATTCTGTCTACTTATCCATTTGAGCCCTAGACGCCTGAATCATGACCAAGACATGAAGACATTAACCATAACTATATATGTCTTTTCAAAACCAAACAACTTTAATAACATCATTGTCTTGCTTTTTTACCTTTTTCAAAGACTCTATCTCATCCTGAAATAGGACTACAGCAAAAGACAAATATAACACAGTGATCAGTCTTGCTTTCCATAAATGCAATACCAGAGCTAAATATTACAATTAAAAACTAATCAATGATCCGAAGACCCTTTACATCCACTTACGGTCCGATCCAATTAACCATCCTGCAATAGCAGGAGCTAATATAATCCACATCTTCTTGAACCTCTGAAACAGAAACTTTAAGGATTCTCTTATTAATCAATATAAATGGTAATAGAGTATCAAAAAACAAACACCAGAGCAAGTTTATGGGTCTTATGGCTCTAATGGACTCCAACACAAACAGAACAAGACTGTTGGTTTGCGAAAGAGGACCTAGAAAAAAAAAACCGAACAACAAAACTGAAAAAGAGAGAACAGAGAATCGAAACAAGGCAGAGCAGACCTAGAAACACCGTGCGAAATTTAACGATTTGTCTTCGATTATGAGAACGAAGTGAGCGACGCAAAGCAACAACAAGATCAGGGAAGAGGCTAATAATAAACTTTGCAATAGCAAACAAAGGATAATAGCTTCTAATCTCTTTTCTGAAGTGCCAAATATATATCCACATACAATTCTACGGTTTTTGGCTTCTCGAGTAAGTAACAAATTAGAGATATTTTCTACTAGTCACAATTTTTTACTGGGGGTACACGAATTAATTATTATTAAAAAATAGATATCAACATATTACCAAAATAAATACAAATAAATTTATATACTATAAATTTTTGTTTTGGTGTGAAATATGTATGTTGGAGAAATAATGGGTGCGAAATAAAAAAGAAAACCGAATGGGTGCATACGGGACGAATCAGCTCATATGGGTTGGAAATTTTTTAGGTCCGCTAAGGGTTGGACTTGGACGCGGGCTGGCCAGTTCAACTGCCATTGTTGAAAGGCAACCTTGAGATGCTAGAAGATATATAATGGATTAACATCTAAATATACTTCTTACGAATTGGTTGGAAAATTCCAAAGTTAGGATTTAAAAATAAGGTAAGATCATCAAAGATTCAAAGCTAAGAGTTAAAATACACTTTCAAATCATCAAGAACTTAGTTTTTAAAGAGTCCATCCTTCATTCTCTGATCTAAAGCAAATCGTATCATCTTAGCCATTTCCTCATATGAATTAAAGTTTCTTCTTGTTTTCTCCAACAAGTTGGCGCAGTACATCGTCCCACGTCTTTCTAATTTCTTTCAACTAGTCCATTTGAGCCCTAGACGAATGAAACATGAGAATTGAAAAAGACATTATAGATCAACCATAACTATATATATATATATCCTTTCAAAATTAATCAAACAAAACTTTGGATGCATTACTTGTTTTTTTTTTTAGCTTGTTTAGATCGTCCAACTTCTTTTCTAATTCTGTATACGTAGCCATTTGAGCCTTAGACTGCTGAAACATGACAAGACATTGTGAATATATGTTGATCCGCGTGTTCGACAATAAATTTGTATTCGGTAAAGGATCGGAAACTCCCGTTAATTGATGCTAACTCGGAAATAGGTTAATTACGAATGATACTGTATGTGATAGAGAGGACTGTGTGTCGANCTTGGAAGATGTGAGATCGTTCGTCTCAAGATCGTTGGTTTCAAGACTGGATGTCGAGGTCGTTGAATCGGAGATCGGGGCTGGATGCCGAGGGTATTTGAGGTCGGATCGNTAGTATGGAAAACTATGTTATTAATCAATCGAGCTTGATTAAGAGATTAAGTCTTATTGTGTTCGAGAAGGATTGTTTTCTTTTTTCCGTCCCCCTCTTTATTATAAAAAGATCCCCTATTTATACTAAACATAGAAAGGATTTAGTACTAGGTTTTCCTCGGGACCCGAGCCGAGGTCACTAACTGCTTGTTGCTGGGCTGGGCCTTTCCTTGGGCTTGGATTGTTTGTTGCTGGGGCCAACTCGTCGGACTCATTCCCTCAGGGCCGAGCTCGTCGCGCTTCTGTCTTCCGGGCCGAGTTCGTGGGCAATTCCGTCAGTTGGGCCTTGTTGGAAATGGGCTTCAAAGATGACAATTGGTGGAGCCCATGCCCAACAATATATATCTCTTTTTAAAACCAAACAAGTTTAACACAATTGTCTTTTTGTTTTTACCTCTTTCAAAGACTCAATCTCAGCCTGAAACATGAGAAATTCGAGTGGACACAATTAAAAATCAACCATTACCATGTATTTTTACCAAAAAAAAAAAACTATAAGAGCATTATTGCGTACATCTTCTTTTTGTTTGAATAAGAATCTGAAGCAAAAAGACAATTACACAATGATCAGACTTGTTTTCGAGAAAAAAAGGCAAATACGATACAAATATAAAAGCTACAAATTACAATCGAAAAAGTAATCAATTGATCGATCCCTTTACACCCACTTA